ATAAATAAAACAGTGGTTGCCCTGGTCAGTGTGGCTCGGTTGGTTGGAGCATCATCCCGTGCACGGAACGGTGGACGATTTGGTGGTGGGGGCACATATCCAGAGTGCAGGTTCTTTCCATGGACACAGGTGGGGTGAGTGTGGGAAGCAAATGATTGATGTTGCTCTCTCACATGGATCTCTCTCTCCCTCCCTCCTTCCCACTTCCACTAAGAATGTCCTCGGGTGACGATTAAAAAAAAAGATTTTTATAAAGCACAGAAGAGCACACTGAGAGAGAAATTGGCCTTTTAAAAATCAGCAATTGGTGTTTGCAAGTAGTCTCCTGAAATATTAAATTTAGGTGAAAATAGTTGAAAAACCTATTTGTAAATTAAAGGTGGGCATTAAAAATTGGTAACAGGCCTGGCTTGGTTGTTCAAGCATCATCTGGATACACCAAGGTGGCAGGTGTGAGCCCCATCAGGGGTAGATAAGTGGAACAACAAATCAATGTTTCTCTCTCCTATCCCTCTTTAAATAAAGTTTTTAAAATTGATAATGCATTTCCTTCAGAGTTGATATCCAGCACTTTTCCCCCCATGATTATGACCCACAGCTTGCATCTGCACAAAAAACTGATAGCTACTTGGCTGTAAAAAAAAAAAAAAAAAAAGGAAATCTTAATCTTTTTCAACAGATGAACCTGGAGAGTATTATGCTAAGTGAAATAAGTTGGGGAAAGACAAATACCATATGATTTCACTTATCTGTGGAATCTAACAAAATAGAAACAGACTCATAGATACAAAGAACAGACTGACAGCTATCAGGGGAGAGGTGTTGTGGGGGCTGGGTGAAAAATGTGAAGTTTAAGCAAATATAACACCCACAGACACAGACAACAGTATGGTGACTGCCAAGGGGAAGGGGGGGAGGTGGAAGAGGGCAAAGGGTGAATAAATAGGGACAGAGAGTTTACTTTGGGCAGCAAGCGCTCAATACAGTTATGCAAAGTTGTATGTTTGAAACCTGTATAATTTATTAACCAATGTCACCCAAGTAAATTCAACTAGCGAAAAAAAGGCCAGGCAATTCTACTCTCTGATAAAACTCATGTTTTACCCAATGTTTCTCTAAGCAGCTTAGTATTAAGGTCATTTACACTGGTTTCATTCACTAAAAATAAACTGTAAATAGCCTAATTTTGAGTGAAAAATAGTATTATTTCAAAAAAATCTGAGAAATAACCATGAGATGCCTTTCTTGTATTTTGATGATTGTTAATTCTAATTACATATATTTGCCCTTTCTTTTGATTCGTATTTTTGATTTTTTTCAAAGAACTGTATTTTTATTGAATTCTATCGTTTTATTATTTTTAAAATGTTATTGATGTGTTTTATTCCACTTTCCCTGGTTTACTAGTTTGAGGAATTAGATATTTGATATATTTTCATTTTTATTATAACTGCTTTATCTGTACCCTAAAATTTGTTTTTAAATTTTATATTTCTTCAAGAAGTAATTTAGGAATACGTATATAAAAAAACAGCTTTCCTCAGGATTGGAAATTAACACTATAGCTGGACTAAGAACTGTTCTGTGCCACCCTGGTGTTCCATTTGAGGCACACAAAGTTGGAGGCCCCCACAAACAGTTTACCCCTTCAATTTGGCAGAGCCTATTTTTTTTCAAATCACTCCAAACAGTAAAAACCACCTCCAAGTTTAAAGGTGGCTTAAATAATAAAGTCTTTATTATCACACCAACCAGAGCAACATGAGGCAACTAGTTGTCCAGGCTAGGTGACTTGAGAGTCCGGAAAAACCTGTCAAAACTATCACATGATGTGTGTGTGGGGAGGTGGGCATGGGCGTGGGGTGGGAGTGCAGGGTGGAGAGGGTCAATGGGGAAAGAGAATATACTTTCAACAATATAAATCAAAAACAAAAACTATCATGATGTCCTGGTTGGTGTGACTCATTGGTTGAGCGTCATTCCATCACCAAAAGGTCGCTGGTTTGATGGTCTCAAACCCCAGTAGAGGGCATGCAGGAGGCAGCTGATTGATGTCTCTCTCAAATCAATAAAATCGTATTAAAAAAAAAAAGTATCACTTGGCACCAACAATGTCCATGAGTAAAGAAACTTTCCTGTTACCAAACAAAACTCAACTCCTCTTAGCTAATGATGGGTCATGTCCTCATCTTTACTGGTCAGTGGGGAGGAAATGACCCCTGCTCCCTCTCAATTTAACTCAGGTTTATTATAATTTCCCCACAGGTTGGAGAGAGTACAAAGTTCTGCCTCTTCTGAAGATATTAGGGTAACTAAGCTAGTAGAGCTCAGATGTTTCCAGCCAGAACTGACACAGAAATCTGGCAAGGAGCCTAAACAGGTCTGAAAGTGCAATACAGCCCGAAAGCTTCCCTTGTACCCAGCAGTCATAAGGAAACTCTCCAATGTTAATGCTCAAATATATGAAGTTCAACATCTAATTGATGTCTTCCTTTCAAAGGGAAATCGGAGATTCTCCCTATATGAATCCTGTGTTGAAAGCACTCCTAAAGCCTTCCTGCTGTGTGAACTTTCTGGTGCCGAATGAGGTGGGAGCTTAAGCTGTAGGCTTTCCCACATTCATTGCACTCATATGGCCTTTCTCCAGTATGAACTTTTTGGTGCCGAACAAGGTGAGAGGTTCTTATGAAGTCTTTCCCGCATTTGCTGCACACAAAAGGCCTTTCACCTGTGTGAACTCTCTGGTGTGCAATAAAGTCAGAGCTTCGACTAAAGAATTTCCCACATTCAGTGCACTCAAATGGCCTTGACTCAGTGTGAATTCTCTGGTGTTTAATCAGGGTGTATTTGTGTCCAAAGGATTTCCCACAATCACTGCAAACATAAGGATTTTCTCCAGTATGGATGCTCTCATGCTGAACAAGTGTGGACTTGTGTCTGAAGACTTTCCCACAATCACTGCACTTATAAGGCCTTGCTCCATTGTGAACTCTCTGGTGTACAATTAAATTGGAGTGATGGCTGAAGTATTTTCCACATTCACCACACTTATAAGGCATTTCCCCAGTGTGAATTCTTTTGTGCTGTGTAAGATTGTCTTTGCGGCTAAAGGACTTCCCACATTCACTGCACTCATAAGGCCTTTCTCCAGTGTGTATTCTCTGGTGCTGCACGAGTGTGGCTTTGCGGCTGAAAGCTTTCCCACATTCACTGCACTCATAAGGCTTTTCTCCAGTGTGGATTCTCTGGTGCTGAACAAGCGTGTCTTTGCGGCTGAAGGCTTTCCCACATTCACTGCAATTGTAAAGCATCTGTCCAATGTGAAAGGCCTCTCCACTCTCAGTGCTCCTTGTTTTCCTCTTGCTGTGGGTGGCCTTTTCCTGGTGACTGTCCAAGCACGCCTGGAAGTTCTTCTGTTCCTCCTCACAGGTAAAGGGATTCTCTGGCAGATGAGGTTCTTCACAAACTCTACAGTTCTTCACAAATGAGGTCTTGCCTTTGTCTCTCCTTAAGGGTTTCTCAACATCATACTGATTCTGGTGCTGGTAAAAGTTTACACCAAATGAGAATTGTCTCCCACATGCCTCACATGTGTAAGGTTTTAGTCCATGGTGTGTTTCCTGGTGGCCATCCAGGTGCAAAATATCTTTCAAGATGGGGCCACATAGATCACAAGGGTGAACCATTTGAGTCGATGAACCTGCCTTGGAAGGATAGGCTTGTGACACGTCCACAGAAATGCCCTGCTCAGAAGATGCCTCTTCATCCTTCACTCCAAGCCAACAACCTGAAGGGAGAAAAACGCTGTTAATATGCCCACTGACTTTGGTGAGAGGGGGCAACCCCATCTCAAAAGTGTGTCTAGCATAACCAGGACTGAGTTCATGAAGTGGCTGGACAGATGAGAGATTTGGGATCAGGTTAAAGAAAGAGCTACTGTGCATACTAGACTCTTAAGGATTACAAAATGGGGAAGGTCTCAGAAAGGACAAAGATATATGGCTGGGGTGCAGCTTGGGAAGAAGCAGCAGACAGGATCTCCAACTTTTTCTTTGAAAATGACTTTTAAAAGGGCACTGGTTATTGGTAAAAGGTGAGTGCTACACAGAAATTTATGTCCAGGACCCAGGAAAAGCTGATTTAGAATTAGTAACTGATATTGGAGACCTAACTAAGAATACGTGTGTGTCTCTGATATATTAGCATCATCCAATATGGGAGATCACTGCAGAGGGAGGAGGAGAAAGCACCAGTGAGTGGGGCGGACCACCCTAGGTCAGAGGTCAGAATAGAAATGACAAGTATGAAGAGTGTCCAGAATGGGGAAGAAAAATAGAAATAAGGTATGGCCTATAGCCTGCGCACTAAACAGTAGTGGGCACAGGACAGGCTTCTGGTGCTACTTGAACCCAACCTTGAAGTCACACACTCCCCAAGCTCTCACTTACCAGAGCCTGTCCAAGCGCCTCCTGCTGTGGCTAGAGTCATACCTCTCAGTCAGGTACTCGGAGTTCTTTCCCCTGCTACCACAGAGGATCTGGAAGATACAAGTCATAGGAGAAAGAGGGCCAGTGAGTGAGAAAGCACTGCCCCAGGGCAGCCCACCCAAAGGAGATTAATGTCTTGCAGGAAAAACCCAATGGATCTCACAAGCGATGACCATGACTATAATTCATGACATAAGTAGGGCCAAGGAAATATCAATTAATGAAGGGAGAAGAATCTGGTGCACAGAGGTACCATGAGTGTGGATAGAGCAATCCAGCCCAGGAGAAGCCAAGTAGGGTAGCATCCACTGGGCTGAGCACAAAACCCCTTGACACCTTCCTGGGAAGGATTTGGGGCAGCAGGAGTTGGGGAGCATAGGGACTGGAGGAGAGAGTATACATAGCCAAGCCCTCAGGACCTATGTGAGGGAATAAGGAAAATAGCAGTGCCCATGATCCAGCTATGGAAAGGAAACAGTAACCTCTGGGGGAAAAGGAAGAGCAGAGCATAGACCAGAAAACTGGAACACGGGGGACCTTACCTACGATGACCATAAAGGCAAAGCACAGAATGAGAGTGAAGTAGTCCCCACTCCTCCCAGGAGAAAGGTAAACATCTTCAAAAGTCACATAACCCTGCACGAAGTCAACTAAGCACAGGACAGCCTCTCTCCCCAGGTCTCCTGGTCTATCCACCACATACTCACTTTCCTCTCCAGCTGCCCAAGTCAGACAAAATACCAGGCCCTTACATGATCGGTGCCTGCTCTTTCCTCATTTCCCATGAATCATTCTGTGCAGCCTGGAACAGGCAGGTGGACAGGTAGATATACACTATAATCTAGGCCTGTAATGAAAGGCCCAACCCTTCCCTGGAGTCCAGAGATGATGCTTCTCATACACAAATGTGAACTTAGTATTCTCCCTAATGCCCTCAAGGACCATCTCCATGTACAGATCACTTTTTAGACCACATCTCCGTTGCCTAAGGAAGCCCACGACATAGGCATCTCCCACATGCATATCTGCACACAGCATCCGGAGCACACTCGGTTAATGCATCTAGGACTACATCTGGTACCAGTCAATGGCCCCCACTGCCATGAGTAACTGTGAGCCCAGCTTTTAAATCCTCCCATCCTTGACTGAACTTCCGTAATCCAGGACCACGTACAATAACAGACACACCCAGCCCTTCTCCACTTGGTTGTTGCACAATGAGGATGCTATATACTCATCAGTTACAGGCTTAACACTAAACTCTCACTTAAGGCCACACCCATTAACCTTCTACCCCAAGTATAGTGACTCTGCTAACTGACTCAATTGTCCCTGAGCTAATTTGTCAGGGACAAATGATTTAAACTCCCCCATGTCCAACCAAATGTCACCACAAAAGCCTGGGAGGCACAGAGAGGGAAATAAGCACCAGCTCTGACCTCCCTTTCATCTCATCTCTATTACTGCTACACCCCAGCATCCATCTCATGGCCACTTTTCCCTGGAAGACCTCACCACCTGTCAGATCCTATTCGTCCCCCCCACCACCACTAACACTAACCCTTTTTTTAAAAAAATGTATCTTTACTGATTTCAGAGAGAGGAGAGGAGAAAGGAGAGGGGAGAGGAGAGAGAGAGGGGAGAGGGGGAGGGGGAGGAGAGGGGGAGACAGAGAGAGAAACATTAGTGATGAGAAAGTCATTGATCAGCTGCCTCCTGCACGTCCCTGACTGGGGATCGAGCCCGCAACCCGGGCATGTGCCCTGACTGGGAATTGAACCTTGATCTCCTGGATCCTAGGTTGATGCTCAACAGCTCAGCCACATCGGTTAGCCAACACTAACCCTTCTTGTCTCTCAAGTGACCCCTACTCCCAATTCACTATGCTCACCCCTGTTCCAGACTCCTAATATCACTGCCACCATAACATAAAGGTTCTCTTTCTAAATAAAATGGACAACTCTACCCTAACCCACATACTGGCTGCCACTATGTGGATGTCTCCAACATGAATCCTTCCTCTGAACTCAAAACCTATGTTTCTAGCTGTCCATTTGACAACTCAATCAGATGTCTGGACGATAACAGATTCCATACAGTTAAAACCTAACTTGTGATACTACTTCCACCAACTTCGCCAGCTCAGTTGAGGATTTTTCTATTCTTACACCTTCTCAAGCCAAAAACTGTGGAGTCATCTCTAACTCCTTCCTTCTTTCTCTCACTGTCCACATAAAAAAATCACTTCTTCCTCTGCTCCAAACCTTCCATGGCCCCAACCATTCTAAGAACAGAAGTCCAGCTCCACAGGCTACCACTCCAAAGGTGAATCCTGTTCCTTGCTCTCTGATTGCACCAGATACAACAGAGACCTGAGGTTTCCTGAACACTCCCAGTGCAACTTCAAATGATGCATTTGCACATGCTGGTTCCTATGCTTGGGACACTGCTCAAACTTCATCCCACTGCCTGCTGAAAAAAAAAATCATTTCATGTAAGAATAGAAGTCAGGGCTCAAGGCTTTTGGTGACAGAGGGATCCCCAAACTCAACAGAAGATAGAAGGTAGATTAAGAGTCTGGCGACACCATTCACCATACTGCGTTGCCAAATGTATGGGGTGGGATGGGTTGAATGTGGACCTGCACACTCTGCAGTCACCTATGCAGGGATTGGATTGTAAGAGATTCTGCCACCACAGCAACCTGGAGGAGAAAGGAGCTGGGAGTGGTAGGTTACCACAGTGTCATCTCATGGCCTGACTATTGCCCTAACTCCTGCCCTGCTCTTTGGTGAGGATGATTGCAGGCTGTCTGATCTCAGATACACCTTAGTGTTGCCTCCTACCATATGAGTGACCTTCAACAAAGATCTGTGTTTCAGTGTCCTAATTTATAAAGCAGTGGTAACAGTGGTACCCACCTAATAGAGCTGCTGTTTATATCAGAGTGTTAGTACAGGTCAAGTACCTTTGTATTAGCTTTTACTGTCCACAAGCTTAACACTCTGCAAATGGTTTTGGTGTAAATGAAGTGATGTATTTTTGAAATTCTAGATTTGTTTTCAGTATCTTAAGAAAATGTGACACCTGAGAATTTCCATTGTAATGAAAGAGGCAAGAACTTCAATCAATTACTAAGCATGGGTATAAATCTGATTTATCCTATCTACATAGTCTAATTTTTAACTGCCTGCTTATGAATACTGCAGCTTCGATCCCTGGTCAGGGCACATACAAGAATCAAGTAAATTAGCCTTTCATTCCCTACTTTCTTTCGCTCACAGCAACGTCTGACCCAGCAGCAAATAGCGCTGTTTCTACCTGGGAAATCCTTCCGGAACCGAACGACTTCTCCGCCCTCAACCCCTCCGGCCCCCGCTCGTGCGCGGCCGCCGCCACCTGCCCCCTGGAGTCCGCGGCCTCCTCACCGGCCGCCCCGCCTCCATCCCCATCATCCCCGCCTTCCCGAGCGGACCCCGGGACAGCTGCGTCCTCACAGCGCAGGCACTCGCCTCCCCGTCACTCCGGGCACGAGCCGAGCTCACGCGCCGCTCCTCGCACCTGCCAGGGGCCCAGCTTCCCCGCCGCTCCCCGCCCACGGGC